GGGGGTTTCAGGTGGGGGGGGAGGAGGTATAAGGAGGGAGGAAAGAAGAGGTTATCATTTCAAATTTTGAAATTGTGTTTTAACTCTTTATCGCCAGTGGAAGTTTTTCCACAATGCTAGAGCCCTCTAGTTTTGGTACAAAACCTGATAATGATATATTTGATATGCATCACTAAATTGGTCTTTAAAAAAAAAAAGAAATTAGCATATTTTGATAGTTGTTCATCTAATGAAAGAACTCCCTGTAAGGGAGACCTGCTTTTGGCAGTTGCCCAAAAAGAATATGGCATTGTTATCTTCATAAAGAACTGTGACTAACCCAGTGCTAGTCGATCACCAGTTCAGAAGTTGGGACTACTTGATGGAGATAAGGAGTTAATCAATCAACATACAATAATGTGTAATGCCTAATGTTCTTCTGAGTCAAGGAGATTGTAGTACATACAGCAGACTGTAAGTCCATCGAGAAAACTTTCTACTCAGGGTTTTCTGTGTTCATAGTTAGGAAATTGGCACACTCTGAGGAAAATACAAACGTTTTACTAGGCCTGAAGGAATGAGAACTTGTGAGGGAAACGCACAACTTTGGCTGTAAGGGTTAAGACAACTGGTCTATTGTATGAATGTATTGAGTTTTGACAAATTTTTCTCATGTTCTTTTAGGTTCACCTCAGCTAAATGAGAAAAGATCAGCTTTAAGAAAAACCATCTCAGGTGACAGCAACATATCAATGCAGGTATTTATTGTTGTAAATCTGTTCATGATAAGGCTTTAATCACTTTTGTGACTCGAAACCCACTCTGAGGTTTCAGTACTGATCACAAAAATGTGTATATTTTATATAACAAAAGTATCTTTAGTATGTTATCAAAAGGAAAAATGTGTATTGTTTGTGAAACAAAGGTTTGGTAGGGTGGTCCAGATTTGTACTCAAATTTAAGTTCTGAACAGAGTTTTTTTACTGCATTTTATTTGATATCAAAGTTCTTTTAAGCAGCCTAATAAATTTTGCAGGAATGAAATCCTTGTTCTGCTGCCAAGCGTTCAATACTAGTTCTGTAAGTCTTTTGGGGAAGAAAAAAGAATTCTTTATGCTCATTAGACTTTTTGAGAACTATGTTTTTCTAGTTTGTTTTTTTAAATTATATTTTCTTTGTGTGTGAAATTAACACAAAACATACAAAATGTAGGTACAGATGTTTGTCCTGTCATGTTTCAGCTATATCTTTTCATCCAAATAAACAAAACAAAAATAAAATGTAAGTCTGTCCTGTTTCAGCTATATATGTTAGGTATCATGGTGAAACCAGGCGCTCGTCAAAATATCGAAATCGAGCGAAGAAACAGACATTTTTCCACAACTTTGTCAATTTTTATCCTTTTTTTAAATTGGCTCAACACCTTTCATGTCAATATAAACACATATTCCCAAGTGAATTTTACTGAAAAATATTGATTAAAGTTTAAAGGCTCAAAATATGTGCATTTTCAGTTTTCAAGGGCTCTCAAGCTATTGGAAATACCAAGCTTGACGGCCGTTTCCTCCCTAATTTCTTTGATCGCAAATACTTTGACTTCTATTAAAGACGTAAATATGGGTATTTTTTTCCTCAAATACGAAACAAATAAACAAGCTTGAAAATGATACCAATAACTCCACATACCCCAAAAATGATGTGCGCCTGATTCCAACGTGTCAAGACACCTAGATATATGTATGTCTTTTCACCCAAATTTTTAAATAAACAAAAATTTAAAGACATAAGTCGAGATTTTTGTCCTGTCCTGTTGCAGCTAAACGATGTCCAGGCAAGACTGACCATGTTGCAGACAGTGCTACAGAAGGACAATAAAGATATGGACCACACAGTGAACAGCCTCAGGCATCGTTTGCAGGATCAGAAGCTGCGGTTGGAGAAGTCTTTCGAAAAAGTTTACATCTTGATTGAAGGACGTAAGGCACAGCTATTGGAGGAGCTGGACAACACTTTTGTAGAGGAACAAGATAGAATAGCACAAGTGAGATTTTTCAGAGCGTTTTTCTTCTTGTTCTTGATTTGGTTCTGGCTCTTTTTCTTGTTCTTCTTGTTCTTGTTCTTGTTCTTGTTCTTGTTCTTCTTCTTCTTCTTCTTCTTCTTCTTCTTCTTCTTCTTCTTCTTCTTCTTCTTCTTTTTCTTCTTCTAATTCTTCTTCTTCTTTCCTGAAATATTTTCAAAATATAGAAGATTTGTCTTATTAGATTAGATGCACTCTCAAAGGAACAACTGGTATCTGTGGTGTAGTACTTAGACACTTAACTGTCACAAGCAGGAGACTCGAGTTCAATTCACAAATGGGGAGAACATTTTTATCGAGTATCTGTCTTTCTAAAGGGTGGTTGAATCCCTTTCTGCACAGGTTGGCTCTGAAAAAACATTTAAAAAACAAAAACTAACAAAAGCCCCAAAAGAGTTATTCAGATGAAAATCTTAGAATATGTACTGAAAAGGTGAAAAAGAATTTATCTCCAAAAGTAAAGTAATAATATGTGCATGTACTTAAGACTTTTTTTTTTTTTTTGTGTGTGTATTGCAGAGCCAGCAAAGCTTCACCAATGATTTGGAATCTGTGAATAGCTGCATGGAACTTCTCAAAAGTCTGGATGATCGGCCTGTGAGCGACGAAGTCCTGGTAGACATGCTGGACGCCATAATGGCCCAACTGAAGGAAATTGAAGCTCGTCCCCCAAAAGTTCATGCCAGAGACGTGCGATTTGAGCAGACTTTGGAAGCTGGCCGTTCGGTTTTACAACTAATTGACCATTTAGGTCATGTAACCATTACCATGTCTGGAGAAAGTGAAACAAGTGCAGGTGGAGGTGGTAGAGGCTCGAAAAACAACTTGACATCAGTTGGTCGAGACAGTTTTGAGGACAGTAGTGGGGCCGGAAAAACCACACGACTTCTCGCAAAACCCAAGTTTCTGACCGCTGTTCGGACCAAAAGTGATGATGGTAAATGCCAACAAATTTATGACATTGATGTCATGCCAAATGGCACCATTGTTATGACATCACTTGGTGAAAACATTGTCCAGGCTGCCAAAAAATGGGGAGACACGTATAAAATCACAGGTCGCCTTCAGTTGGACACACAACCCAAGTGTATCGCTTCAGTGTCTCCCTTCTATGTAGGAGTTGTTGGAATTTCCTGTGTGTACATCATTGCTGTTGATGATAAACTTACCCTGAAGAAAACTGTACACACCGGGAAGGACTACATGGGTATAGCGGCATACACTGAAACCAGTCTGATTTTGTCCTGCCAAAAACCCCCTTGTATTGACTTTGTTGGCCTCAATGGGCTCATCAGTGAGACCATTGACCGTGATCATACAACAGGAACCATGCTGCTCAAGAATCCACAGTTCATCGCATCGTCAAAGGAAGGTGTCATATATGCCACGGATGCTTCCAGAGTGCCCCGGGTCCTCAGTGTGAATAATGCCGGGAAATTACTCTACCAATACCCATCAGATGGCTCTCCAGTTTTGAAGATGCCTCAGGGGGTCTGCTGTGACAGTCAAGGTCACCTTTACGTCATTGATAGAGGTGAACGCAAGGTCATCCTTCTTAGCCCGTCAGGTGAAAAGATAAAGGACCTTCTCACAGAAGAAAATGGAATTACAGATCCTTGTGGTATTTGTGTTGACAAGGATGATGTTCTCTATGTTACCAATAACTTCACTGAGATTATGGTGTTTCAGACAAAGTAACTGAAATGCTAAATAAGCTCATTCTTTTTTCTGGAGTTATAAAATGTGCCCATGGATTAAAAACATGGTATTTATTCAGTTATATTTATGTACGTTTGTTTTGAAGTGTGTTGGACTGTTACTTCTAGAACTGTTTACAAGGAAATAGACAGATGATGTCTCTTTGGCCTATCTAACAAATCATTTCTCTGATGTCTTGATATTTTGAGTTATGGAACTGGTATCACATAAGAACCTGTCAATTTGAATGAATTGATTTTTAAATATATCTAGATAGAATCAGTTTGTACTGTGACACTTCTGAGTGACGTGTTTGTTCAAAAGGATATAATATATAGACTTTAGTTCTCTACTTGTTGAGCTTGTTTTCATGTAACATCTAATCTGAAGAATAATGTCATAAAAACATGTTAATCAGGAGCTCTGCGTTAGCAGCTCATTATTTTTCTGTACTTACGATTTACTATAATATGGTAAATAAATTGTTTTTCTTCCTGTACACTTATTCATTATGGACTTTGCCAATGTTGTATGGTGTGTATCTGTAACATTCACATCTTTATACAACGTATTGAACGTAGCCAATTGTTCTAAATGTCATCATTGTTTGAAAAAGACAAAATTTGATCATGTGTTCTTATTGTCAAGTAGAAGCAATCAATGTTATGTACTACTTTCTGTGGCAATTTTATAAATCAAGGAAACTTTTTCAACAGTCTGAAAGAATTCAACTGATTTAAAGGATGAGAGAAGACTCTCCATTTATCAGAGCACTTTTGTACTATTTATAGTGCAGGCTGATTCCTGCTTTTTATTGACAACCCACAGCTTTACCTCTACAGTGGTTTAACTTAAGGACAAGAAAAGAGTTGACTTATTTCTTCTTGTTACCTGGTTAACTCTTCAAAGACGAAACAGACGCATCTGTCTGACTAGCAGCAGAAGAAAGTCAATGTTTTGGCCCGTTTCTTAACCCAATACCATCAGAAATGCAAATTTTGCTAGTTCACAATAATCATGTTGTTGCCAATCTTTTTAAGATTCATATATATATTTAAAGAAAATAGAAGTGAAAAATCAGCATGAATGACTTAACGAAGTTATGCGCCTTTTTGAAAGTGTCCTCAAAACATTTTGTACTCTAGCGCTGTAAAAGATGGGTCCTCCAAGATTTAAAACATCACAACATCGATGTGTTTGACCTTACTCTAAAACAAAGATAAACTCCAGATGTAATCTCATTAAAAATTGAGAAGCAACTTTCCTTCCCACAAGAGAGCATCCTTAAAAGCCGAGAACCCATCTCTCATCAAGTGTCTGTATTTTTTACACTGTCTTCATCTGTAGGCCTTTTGCTAGTTAAAAGTTCCTGCGTAATCAAACAAAACTTGGGTACCAGGTATTTGCAATGAACTATTTATAGGTGGGGTTTGTATCATGGATTGACTAAATGCTTTTTGCTGGTGTGGGTGAAATATCTTGTCAGTTTTTTACTGTTTTAGTGAGTGCAATCAGCAGCTTGCACTGAATGTTTCCCAGGAAGCTGAGAATGTTTCTGGGTGTTCTAGAGTCTGCAGGGATAAAAAATGGTTGTAAAGCACTTAAAGCTTTCTCTAGAGTGTGGGTGTGCGCTAATACAACTATTTCAAATAATGTACCCATGCCTAGTTAATGTGTTCTTGCATTACTATGACTTTCGTTTGTTTATTGAAAATAATAATTAACTTTGATTTGTCTACTTTGTACAAAAGACATTCTAATTTATGACACTGAATTAGAAATAAGTTATGGGCAGCTTTTTATTTCAGAAGTACTTACACCAATAAATGAATCCCAAAGCCACTCAAAGGTATTGCAAGAGTTTCTACATGATATGATACATATTTATATAAAATGTATCAGGTCTTTGCTTTCGTCTCCACTTTCTTCCCCCTCCTCCCATCCCTTCTGTTCTCCACTCCCCTGGGCTTCTGACTCGTTCTACAAAGCTGCTACGACCTGGCTCCTAAACTTCTTACCGCTGTCTTTCAACAACACCCCCTGATCTATGGGTGGGTAAGATTGCTGCGTGTGCAAGTTGTGCACTTGGAAGATCCCTTGGTTGTCAAAAATCAATAAGAGAAAGTTCGGCCGTCACCCGCGCAAAATTCAAAACCAGTTCCTACCACTAAGCTGAAAATGTTCCTGAGCGCTCATATGACCTTATGCAGTTGCGAGCGCCGTAAAACACCAAGGCCTACTTCCCCAAACAAAAACTTTAAAGCACCAAAGACGTACTGGGTATGTGTAAGAACTTGACGGAACATGTGCGCTGTAAAAATGTTAAACTAAAACGGAAGGAATTTCTTCTCCAAGGGTCTACAATAATAAATGGGTAAGCTTGTAACCCGCTGGGTACGGTACATCACCCGCGCATTTTGTCTGTCGCCACTTTCGCATTGATCTTCATTCACCTCACTGTAACCCTGACTAACCTTCATTCCTGGAGCCAGCCAGCGGGTTACATAGCCCGCTCTAAGAAATCCTAGCTTTCTGGCTATTGTAGTAGAAAAAGTTCCTTCCGTTTGGGGGTTGGTGGGGCACCTAGAAATCGTGTTTTGGGGACAAATTATGCAAATTGGGGTTTTTACATATTATATTCTGAGCAATATCCAGTACGTATGTAAGCCTTGCTACACCCTAAAGCTGTGTGCTTTCTCAGGTTTTTCTGCGAAAGCACGTCATGTTTTCAAGCCTTTTCTTACCTTTATCGGCTGTTTTCTCACAAGTCTATTTTTTCTCACATCATCCCATTTTTCTGCTGTTTCTTGTTCAATTTCAATGTAACTTTTACAGGATACCAACAACTCCTAGTTCTAAGTTTTGGCTCGTTAAATTTTCAATTAATGGAATTGTTTTGATTTATAGGCTTAGAAACCATGAATGTTCCTTTTATTCACTCTTTTTGCAACAACCCAATTGCAAGTGTCATAAAATAAAAACTAAAGTATCAAAAATTCAACTAGCCAAATTTAAGAGCTACGTATTAACTGTTGGCATGCCAAATTAGAAGTGAATCAGTTAATAAATAGGCGAATAAAATGGGATGGGAAAAGGTATATAAAATCCAACATGGCTGCCGTTTCCATAGCAACCGATTCACAAATATACTTTTTGAACTATTGATTTCAAATCCCCGATAACACACGATGTCCCACAGCAATTAATATGGGCACTCGAGGCCTTGTAATAGCCAAAATAGACCTAGGTGCCCCACCATCCCTTGAGCTCAAAATTATTGCGGTTGTGGCACATGTTCAATGTTCTGTCAAGTTTCCCCTTCATGTTATACGTACTTGGCACGGTACCGATGTCTGTGGTGTACTGGTTAGGCGCTTCACTGTTGGGCACAGGAAACCTAAGTTCAATTCCCGAGTTGAGAGAAAATTTCTATCGAGTATCTTATTCTTTCTGCTGAGATTGTAATCCCTCTTTGCCCGGGTTGGCTCTTACGACAGGCATTGTTGGAAGCCCTCCTCCTAAATGAACTTAATTTTATTGGATTATGTTGAATTGTTGATGGCATAACAACAGCTAAATTTTGAAAGGCTTTCGTGGTCCGGTGTTTGCCTCCCATACAAGTTCAATAGGTCCCTGATTCGAACCCGGATAGCGACGGATATTTTTCTTCCCTAAAATTTATCATTTCTTTCACCTCCTTTCCTGCTCTCTAGCAATGTTCTGTCGTCTGCTTTTGCCTCCACTTTCTGCCTCCACTTTCTGCCTCCACCCCCTTTGCCCATGCTCTTTCTGCAGCCTTTTAACTGCTACTCCTCGGCTCCTTCTTACTCCTGTCTTTCATCCACACCCCTCGTCTTATGGTAAGAAAGATCTGCACCTAGCCATCTCGGACATGGGCTAAAAATCTGGGAGGTCCCATGTGCAAGTTGCGCACGTTAAAGATCCCTTATTGGTGGTCCAAAATTGATGTTTATAAGAGTGGCCTTCGGCCGCTACCCGGGCAAAGTTCAAAATCCCCTACCAACCTGAAAAATGTTTAATAATGTGTCCCGCGCGCTCATGACCGTATGCAGTTGCGAGCGCCGTAAAACACTTACCAAAAAGAAGAAAAAAGAAAAAAAGAGCATGACAGGAGATGAAATGAGAAAATTTTAGAAAGAATTATTATTTCCCTTCGCTGTTAGGTTTCGAACCTGGCATCTATTGAATGCGAAGCGAACACCGTACCTCTGGACTATTAGAGCCCCCCCCCCCCCTCTTTTTGTGTGCGTTTGTGTGTGTGTGTGAGAGAGAGAGAGAGAGAGAGAGAGAGAGAGAGAGAGAGAGAGAGAGAGAGAGAGAGAGAGAAAGAGAGAGAGTGTGTGTGGGTGGGTGTGAAAAACATGCGCAACGATTCAGAAGGGCAGTCTATATGTTGAGATCATCTCAGTCACTGCTCGCTGCACAGAGCCAAAGACAAGACAGTCACGGACTTCCACACACAGTTGGTCCAGGACCATTTCGCTGACTTAGAATACAAAGTTTGTTGGGGGGGTCTGACATTTTTGGCCGTTTTGAGTCAGAAACCAATAAATTATGTTCTATCCGCTCTTTCAAAATCGAAAGTTACCGGGTGTCAAGATATTCAAGAATTGCATTTGAAAAACCTTGACATGTGAAACTGAATTTTTTTTTTTACGTCAAATTTCCCAAAACTAGCCTACTGAGCAGATAGAACGTAATTCTAGGGGGTAGCAATATGTCGTCTCACTTGGACCAAGCAGCAAAAGAGATCCTGGGAACAAACTGTAGGCCTACAGTCATTTTGAGGATGGCTCTGCTTATCTCTGTGGAGGAACGAATTCGCTGGAAAGGGTTACTGGAAATAGCCTGCTTCACCGCACCCTGGCCAAAATACCACCGCTTTTTTTTTGGGGGGGGGGGGTCTCTACCGTTGTAGAACAATAATGGTCTCTTTTAAGCACAAGGGAGCTATCCCGAAAAATACTGTTTTGAGAAAAACTAAGGTAATAAGAAGTGTTTGCCTCTTGTTCAATTTCACAAGACTAGGAGAGTTTCCTATATAACCAAACAAATATACACACCAATGGGAACCAAACTTTTCCTATAGGTAGGGCAATGCCCACTTTTAGTGTAGGCCGCTTGTCCTTAAAAAGCGACCATATAGGATACGATTTTAAACAATTTTAACGTGTTCAATCTCTGCACGTGAATGACGTGTTCGCAGTTAAAAAGAACGACGCGCTGGTTACAAAACTGATCGCACTCTATAAATTAAATATACAATTTATAATGCTATGTTAATATTGACATCTTTCTACTCCTTTTTTTCACCGAGACATGTTGTGCAGACAAGTATAATCTTAATAACAGAAAACGAAAACTGCAGAGGTAAACGTTCTACTGCAGTGGCGTTCCAGAGAGGGACGACAGAAGCAGTATTGTGAGACTCACAATAAAATCTCAACTAGCCTGTTAAGTCACCAAACTTCCCCAAGGTCTCAACGGTTGGTAGATGATGCTAAATATCCCTCTCATCAAAAGGAACGGGATATTCTAACCAGACACAAAAGACAAGTTCTAGGGAGAAAATTGGCACCCTCTTTTCAGCAGTTAATTCTCTTGAAAGACTTTTTAACGCCATCCAGCCAACTTTTGAATGGTCTGCTGGTCGGCCCCTGCGTACACTTGTATCCTGACTCTTATACATGTATGCAGCTGCTTGATTTGGTGACATTCTCATCAGAATAACCGAACAACTAGATTCTTTGATGTTCTTTAGGCTATTGTTCCGTAACCTGTTTCAACCCTGGGTTTTTTGTGTGGTTTTTTTTGTTTTTTTAAGAGCAGTAACAGGGAATTGGGGGATACAATGCAGTAGTCTGCTCCGCCCAACTAAGTACAGCACGTCCCTCTCTCGCCTTGCTGTGCGATGGCCACATTTGACAGCGGCGTCCGCCATGTTTCAGTTGACGAGCTGTGTGAAGGAATTCTAGCTTTAAAAAAGGAGATACTCTATGACTCCGCCTAAGATCCCACCGCTTACGGTCCCGGTTCGCTAAAAATCGCGCTGTTTTAAGAAAACAGAACTTTTACTATTCACGAGTCACCCCTAAGATCCCGCCCTGATTCACTCTGAATTAGGTCTACATTCGGCTAAAATCCCGCATTTCTCAGATCAGAATTTACGGAATAAAAACAGGGGCGAGCATAGCCGATCAACTAAGAGTGAAAAGTTGAGATTAATGAACTGCCCGTCGCGTCAAAGATCAGCCACTCTCGTGAATGTACCCACATAGGAGTAGTAAATCTGATCAAAGGTTTGCCCCTGACGGGATCACTCACACCGAGGTGTGATATTAAATGACCGATGCGTTTGTTTTCCGCCACTCATCGCACTCGCATTTGAGCATCTCCACCTAAACGTACACCACTCGCTGAGTGGGTAGGGCCTGCAAGTTCGCTCCAGGCGGGATTGCATCGAACTCTGAACTCTTCCCAGACCATTGCTGCAGTTTTCTCTGTTCCTGAATTTGCGAGACAGACTAACTTTTTATAGGTATGGTCAAAACGTAATGGTTAGTAACGACAGAGGCGGGGGAACACGGTCTGTGATGGAAAGCTATAAATTTTCGACATGTAATATTTTAAAGAGGGGGGGGGGGCAACTGGATTTAGTGTAGGTTTTTCAGACTCGCAATAGGGTAAGAAGTGTAAATGGCATGCCTCATGCCACTCTGATTGGTTATCAAGGTTGACCACTCTTTGCCCGCCAAATTATGTCACAAACCCACTCAGGGGTCACATCAGTTCATTTTATTGTTGACAGAGACCATTTTACCAGTTGTGAGCCTTACCATGAGTCACCGAGGATTTTTCCACTGTTATGTTGGCTAAGATCTCGTCCTCCTTAGATCATCCATTTTCCTTGCTCCTGAGCACCAGGGTCTTGCGAAGACTACTAGTTACTGTCATCACTGACGGTGCAGTTCTGGACGCTAAAACTAATACACAAGAGAAGATGCAACCTCCGCTCGACTTTTTTTTCAGGGCCTGTCCCAACATCAGACATAGAGCATGTTCTGCTCACTCATTGCGCGCGCACCCTTGTCCAAAATGTGGACATTTTTTCAAGTCTCAGGTTGGTCTCTCTAGCAACTTTTGTTCTCATTGCCACGGCAGAATCCAATTTGAACTTTGTTTGAAGACACGATCAATAACAATGTATCAACAACACTAATTCTTTTGGTAGTCTGTCAGTATACAAACAGATTATAAAATTGAAAAGATTTAAGAAGGACTAAACTTTTACTAACATAAAGACAACGGTCAGCACAATCTCTGAATACTCTGATAGATCTAGATAATAATAGATAAATAATTAAATTAATTCTCAAGATAACAGCACAATGCGATCACTGCGAACTACGTTTAATGAGACCTTGTTCACGGGAAGCTACTCTCATTTCGCAATCAACCTAAAAATAAAAACACTGACTATTTATTTTCTGACACTTCCGCAGTGAACGCGGCGAAGTCTCATGTCCATTACTCAATGGCCTAACTGTCCGTCTTCAAGACTAGATATCTAGATCTAGAGTCTAGATCTACCTCAGAAAGCCACTTGAGCTTTGAGCGGCTATACAGAACACTAGTTTTCTTCTTTTTTTTTTCTTTTTTTTTTTACTTCGCAGCTTTCTGGAGTGAGTTTACACTTCTTCTAACTTCAGCCGTGACGAGCTTGCTAGATTTGATTTTGATGTTTGCTTACCTTTAATTCATTTAGATCTAGATTTAGATCTAGATCTAGATATCTAGATTAGAATCTCTCATTTATTCATATGAGAATAATAATACAAATCTATATAAATCTAGAGTCTAGATCTACCAGTACCAGTTTGTAACTGCTCTGTCATCTCTTGTTCACACTTTCATTGTAGATCTACTCTAGTGTCTTTGAATATAAATAGGGAGTGTATAGTGTCTTAAGTGCTCAATTTTTTTGCAACTTGTTCAAACAAGTTTTTCTGTGAATTCGACCAACTCCGCAAGCATTTCTGGATTTTAATTAAAGTCAGGATTTATTCTGGTGAGCTGTCAATAAATCCAATGGAACAGTGGCAGGTTGTGATCAGGGGCTGTGGAAAGAAAAAAAAAAGCAAAGCAATGAATTCATCAATGAAGTAAATAAATTCATTTGTGAGCAGTGGATGGAAATTTGACATTTTCACACTACAACTCTAGTAAAGGGAGGGTGTAGATGACTAGACAAGAGAAAAAACATCTTCTAATAAACATGTAGATCTATCTTAAAACAAACTGGACAAAGTACATGATAATTTAAAGAGATATTTAAATAACAAGCACACACAAAAACAATTAAGAAGAAAAAATATTTAAAGACAATATAAGCACACAAAAGAAGTAAAAACTTGCGTGAAATCGATGGTCTAACAGTGACAGTAACACAGAAACAAAACAAGGCCAAGGCTGTTACATTTCCCTCCCCCCACCCAAGACTCCTTACTGATTGTTACATGGTTCAAATTCATAAGAACTATACAACAGTGATACATATTACATTCCAAAATTTAAAATAAATCATATCTTCTACTATAAAACATTCTTCAATGCCGTTTAAGAGGTAATAAACGCCAACAATACACGTTAGCGTAGGTTAAGTTCGCTTTCCGCAATGGCCGCCATGACCTCCCGGTTCACGCTCAGCAGCGCGATCGATAATAGGTCATGCCCATTCATGGAGAGTGACCTATTTAAATTAGGGCTCACACGCTTATGCCTCAACGTACAACATTGAAATTAACAAATAAAAGAGATAAAAGGTTGAAGAAAAGACTGTGAGGAGTACCTAAAAAAAAATATATATACTCTTTAAATATAAAGGCTTGAACTTACCTTATTTTTAACTCCTTGTAACTCCGAACACACACAACCGATCCCAAAGTGGAAAACGCCATAATACGCGCCTTTCTTTCCTCTTTAATTTGATAGGCGGAAGTAATCCATAAATTGAAAAGAACACTATAAACGAAACAAAACAAATAGGTACCCCCCTCACGGGGCCCGATTTCTGACACAAAACGCGGCGGCCGCAGGTGAACGAAAATCTCGGGCCGCGCGGGCCGATATCAATTTCAAAGCTTTCAAATTGCTTTAAAAACAATACCAATGCAAAGAGCTCAGTGACACGATTCCAACGCTACCTTAGTTATTGCTTTATGTTGAACCGTTTTTGAGATATGGCATTTTAAAGATCTTTTCGAGGGGATAACATCTATATAGAAAAAAAAGGCAATTTTTGTGATCGAAACAGCAAGGACAACAAGGGAAATGTTAGCTGCTTCAATATGCTGCTGCGTACATGCAAAAACCAAACATTTTCTGAAACCTTGTGATGTTGAGGACAAAATAACAGTCAGACGAGATTTTTAAAATATGTCGTGGTGGGTAATATTGGGTAATATTATGTAACACTGTGTTGTGTAACGTGACCGCACCGTCCTGCGGTCAATATATTTTGCCATAACTTTCTTATAAATTAAGCTACATCAATAATTGAGGTATCGTTTTGAAGGTCTTTTTAAGGCCTTTCTTTTGGAACATCTACATATCAAATATCAGTAGAATTAACAAAAAAACTGATTAAAAAATAAAATATATTTTAACAAAACAGCTGGTCGCCTGAAATAAGAATAAGATGAGCATAGAAGTTTTTAAAGTTAACATTTGTGTCTACAGCTGCTGCAAACTAGTGTTTTTAGTCTACCTTAATTCATGATAATACTGTTTTTTAAATTCATTTTGCATGTTATTGTTAGAATGTTTCTTTCATGTTTTAATTTGTCATGTAAATGATCAATTACTCTGTCTTTATCTTTGATTTCTCTTTTACATCTTTAACTCATGAGATTGCCCTGTAAGTTAAACAATAGTCTCTTCTAATTTTATTACTTCAGTTTGTTCAGCAAGTTTTTCATTATATTTTTATTGTGTTTATTTAAATGTTCAACTTCTTCAAAGACAATTAGTTGTGAAATATGACATGTTTTTTGAAGCACGCAATTGTGTCACGATACTTATTTATTCTTTCTTTATTTCTGGCAATTGTTTAGTTCACCCAGTCTGCCAACTTGATATTGTTAAATTAATGTCAATTTTTTTTCCTTGTCTGCAACAAATGCTTTCTAGTGTATACAGACCCGGTAACCGGGAACAAAGTCACAAAGTATACAGACCCGGTAGGGGAACTCTTTTGTGATTTCGGAAAGTTTCAGCACCCTCTTGGCTCAGGGACTTAGACTTAGGGTATGCCTAGACCACAGAATTCTACACTTATAGAAGCGGAACTCCCTCTTCGCGATCGCCGATTCGCTGTGAGGAATTGAAACTAAAACATGGCGGCCAGTTGAGGGCACCTTTGGCCTTTGGCTGCGCCGCACAGCGAGGCTTCGCGTTGCTATGCACGCTGATGCTAGTGGTAGGGCTTGGAAGACACCTTACATTAAGTTACATCAGTATTTTAAAACTTTCTTCGAAGAGGAAATATAGTGAAATAGTCTAGTACATTTTTACTGCCAACAATATGTCATAATTGGCAATGTTACAATGTTTTTGTATCTGTATTGTTGGTTTGTTGTTGTTTTTTTAATGATGGGATGGGGTGGGATCTAGATCTAGATAGAACCGGGTCTGTATACTTCGTGACTTTGTTCCCGGTTACCGGGTCTTTATACACTTCGATATATATAAATAACCATACACGCACCCTACACCTGGGTAAACACAGCAAAGGAGTCTCTGAATCGACTCGCTCATCGATGACTGGCAAAGTTGCAGACTAGATTCTAGATCTAGATCTAGATCTAGAATCTAGATGTGGCTGACTGAGTTTGAGTTTTTCTGAAAGTTGACTACTGGACATATTGTCGCTGGTACACTGGTGAGCCACCACTCTTTGAACCTTGATTTTGGAGTTGGAAATTAACTGTTGAAAAATTAGATAATTTTTAGAACAAAATGTATACAGACCCGGTAACCGGGAACAAAGTCACGTCCACGAAGTATACAGGCCCGGTAGGGGAACTCTTTTGTGATTTCAGAAAGTTTCAGCGCCCAGACCCGGTAGTACTGTGTGTGTGTGTGAGAGAAAGAGAGAGAGAGAGAGGAGAGAGCAGAGGGAAGTGCTAGCAAAATGTATGACACAGTTGGCTGGAGGGAACGAGAGAAAGATAGAGTGGGAAATAGGTGGGGAGAAAGAAAGACAGAGACAAACAAAGAAAAAGAAAATGTGAGCGATACACAGAGACAGAGGAAGGAGAGAGAGAGAGAGGGCGACTGCTCGGTTTAAATTATGACATTGTTCTTTTCTTCTAATTGTGATTCCTCCAACTCCAAAACGGGGGAAAAACGATCGTTCATTGAAAAGACATCCGCAATATTCATTTAGAAGATCTAGATTCTAGATCTCTAGATTCTAGATCTAGGCTAGCCTCGAAACTAGATCAATGATTTATATCTGTCGATCTAGATCTAGACCTAGGCCATAGATCTAGAAGAACCTAGTTTTACCCTGAGCCAAGAGGGCGCTGAAACTTTCCGAAATCACAAAAGAGTTCCCCTACCGGGTCTGTATACTTTGTGACTTTGTTCCTGGTTACCGGGTCGGTATACACTCCCTTTTTCAAAGCACTTTGGATACTTTGATTTTTGTGGCCTACTCTAGATCTAGATTTCAATTCTTGATCTAGATCTACATGACATAGAGGCCTATCGTATTTATCCCCATATTATATAGATAATATCTAGATCTAGGCGTAAGAATTTTTTTTTCTTCATCATGTCAAGGTCCTTCTTATTTATTATAGGTTGTCCACATAATAAATTATAAATAGAGGCATCGTGGTGAAACCAGGCGCTCGTCAAAAAGAAAACTCTGCATTTTTAGGGACGTTAGGCAATTATTTTCAAATTTTCTTTTTTGGCTCAACACCTTTAATGTTAATTAAAAAACACATTGCTGTGTGGATTTTTCTGTAAAACGTTGATTAAAGGCACAGAAAATGTAAATTTTCAGTTGCCAAGTACTCTCAATTTATGGAAATGACCAAACTTTGACAGCAATTTTCTCGAAAATTTTACCTCTGCAACCAGCTGATCGCCACTGTCTTCAATCTGAAATAGTTCGACTTCTATTCAAGGTGTAAAGGTATTTTTTTCATTGAATACAAGACAAATGAACAAGCGATAAGATGATACCATTAACTCCACATGCCCAAAAATTGACGAGTGCCTGATTCCACCATGTCGCGACACATATAGAAAAGGCCCTTTTTGCTGATGAACTGGTCCTTTGGCACATTGGAGACTCAACAACAATAGCAGCTAGCTATAACCTTGCAAATGCAGAAACCCTCTCAAAATGGATGGTCTGGTACCAACTTGAAATAAGAGAACATCCCAGTGTACCTGGGAGTACAACTTGACTGTAAGCTTAACTTGAAACAACACACCAACAACCTTAGAAAGAAGACTATGAAGAGACTTAATCTCATCAAACGACTAGCTCCAACTGGAGACCAGACAAGAACACCTTGAGAGGCCTCTATTTAGGACATAATACTAGAGCTGTTTTTTATTATAATCTTAGGGTTTTTTTTACTTATGCACCCGTCTCATGTTCGCGTTTTATATACTTCTTTTCTAGTAGTATTTTGCATGCTGAACACGAATATGGCCTTCATTTTTTGAGCAAATCAATAGTTATTGAGTTATTGATGTTTGAAAATAGTAAATTTAACTATATGGGGGGGGTTTCAGGGGGGCATGCCGCCTGACCTAAAAAGAACTATTAAGGGGTTTCCAGGGGGCATGCCCCCCTGCATTTCACAATGATTTGATGTTTTGGCAATTAGGATTGATATTTACTTGAAAACAATTGATTTGATAGAGTTTTAGTGGCCATACGTGTGTTCTACAGCAAAAATTATGGCAGTAGCCCTCAAATAAATGCATCTATAAGTGGGTGTATAAGTAAAAATTTACCTAATCTTGTTATGCAAAACATTTTGCAGTAAAACTACAAAGAATTCAATGGACACCATCCAAAAACAAGCTCTTCGTCTTATCTCTGGCGGAATGAGATCCTCACCGACAGCGGCCTGTGAAATCCACACAAATATTGAGCCATTAGAAACTCAAAGAAAACGGGCAGCTTTAGAAGTATATGAAAGATCTAAAAGGCTAGAAAATAACCACCCAAATAGAATTCTTGTTGACAAGTGGAAACCCAATCAAAGACTAAAAAATACAAAATCTGTACTTGACACTCACTGTCCTCAATCTCCAAGAAAAACATCACCTCTCTGAAAGACGAGAACCTCTGGAAAGAGTCCCCTCAACTCTCCCACCTCATTTCACCATAGCAAAGCCTTTAAAATTGTTACGATTGATGGAGAATATTAAATTATTATAAAGGGTGTTCTTAAAATTACTGTGCAGTTGGGCTGAAAATAATCCACACTTGGCTGACCAGAGCCCAGGGCATCAAGAACTAAATTGTTTTCTCTGCCAAACTGAATTGTTACTTTTATGAGCAATGTCGTAATATATAATGAGAAAATGTCATTATTAAAATGTGTACTTATAGAGCGTGACTTGATGTGACATAAATGTGTTATATTGATGCTGTGCAGTTTAGATTCTTTTAGCTCAGTATATTTAGATGTATGACTCTGAAGCTGATAAAAGCTGCCACTTTGTGTTAAATTTTAGAGCTTTTTTTATAGGCCTAAATGGTTTTAAGTTGGATTGTTGTTGTTTTTTTATTGATTTTTTTAAACTGTATTTTAATCTGAGAATTGCTTCAGATATTTCATCCATTTCCCTTTTTTAATGAACATCATTTTATCCAGAAACAAACTGCAGCAATGCCGGGACAGTGCTATGGCTGCGGCGCAGAGTTTGGAATTTTCAAGAAAGAGGTATATTTATTATATGATATATATATATATATCGATTACCATTTGTTTTCTTTTTTTTTACATTTATGATTTGTGACGCAGCGTCAAAATAATCAAAGCGAAGAAACATGCATTTTTCCGCAGGTTTGTGAATTTTTATCAAATTTTTGTATTTTGGCACAACACCTTTCATGCCCATTAAAGAACTTATTTCTGTGTGGATTTTTCTGAAAACGTTGATTAAAGGCACAAAAAATGTAAATTTTCAGTTACCACAGACTCTTAAGCTAAGGAAATAACTAATTTTTGGCAACCATTTTCTCCTTAATCTTACCTCTGAAAACAGGTGACCCCACATCCTTCATTTGCAAATATCTCGACTTGTATAGAAGATAAATGGATATTTTTTCATTCAAATAAAGACAAGTAAACAAGCTTTAAGATGATACCAATAACCCTACATGGCCCGAAATTGACGAGAGCCTGATTCCACCACACTGCCTCACATTTTTATTTTAACTTTATTTTGGAACAATTTTGGTGATCACCAGTAGTGCAGTTATTTGCACACTCTTTAAACTTCAGTGACATAATTTATCAAGTATTGTAGAGTGAAATTAATTTTTCAATTTTTGGTGCCATTGTTAATTGCTGTCAAACTTTATTGCTTTTCCCAGTAGTACATACCAGACTTGTAATTAGTCCATCGATTCTAAGTGAAAACTAAAGTGATTCTGAAATGTAGTGGTTCTTCATTACTTAAATGAGAATAGTTCGTGCATTCAGAAAAAGCAGTTAAATCTCTAATGAAATTAACTTTATCCTTCTCAAGATCGTAAAACATGTTTTGTTATAATGTAAGCTAGCTGCCTTTCACAATGAGATTGGCTTTATACTGCTCAAGATCTTTAAACATTTCTAGTGTAATGCTAGAGCTATGTTAGCTAACTGCCTTTCACAGTCCCATGATTTATAAACAGGCATGGTTTTAAAAAAATATTTATTATTTGGAAAAGTATGTATGGCTCAAGGAGTTAAAATCAGGTTATAAACTCTAAAAGTAAAAAGTAAGTGTATGAGTTTAATTCCCCTTATCAATACTATAAGGTTAATTAGGTGGCTGGACCATGGTATTTAATGTCCGTCTCCAATAAGACCAAGCCAGATTAGTTGAGAGCCTTGAAAACTTAAAAAACTACCCAGTTCAAGAACAATTAGTCAGGGGTTTTGACACGCTGTCCACTCTGTAGTCCAGCATGATACCAAATGAGCTCACAGAGCTCTCAGGTTAGGTTACAGGCTCTGAAATCGGACACATTTTGCACTCTGCTTAACTGCTTGTATATTTCTCCAAGTTTTTAATAAAATAAAGTCACTAACTATCGTTAATTTCTTCAAGAAAAAAAGGCTGTACATCGTTGGGTTAACTCTTTTCTTCTTCGATATGTTCTAATGAGAATATTTTACTTCCCCCCCCCCTCAGCGTGGTTGCAAGAACTGTGGTTTTGCTTTTTGCAGCAAGTGCCTAGCTGAAAAGAGCATTGCTATTCCAAAAAGGAACAATTCAAAGCACCATGTTTGTGTCAAGTGTTATAATATTCTTTCTGGGTAAGTTGTTGTAATTTTTGTTCGTTGCGATTGTCTACCATTATACTAAGACAATTTTGATCGAAAGAAAAACTATTTAACATCTGCTAGCTGTTCATCTTTTCTGAGCCCAGAATACAATATTTTTCAGGAGAGAGAAAAAAAAAAATGTTTTCTTTATGTAAAAAGTTGTGCTCTTTTTACATATAATTATTTCCTTGCCTTTTTCACCATGTGGACTTTGAATTTCAAAAAGATATTTCTGAAGCACATGTAATAGACAACAGAGATTAAGGAAATGCAAATAATCAAACTTTAACAATTTTGGGCTTGATACATCTGAATTGCTGACCAATGATATATGCTTTTCAAAATTGTAAATTGTAAATTGTAAAATAAAGTGCTTGAGTTTTGTTGTATATTTTTATTTCAAGATACCTGAGATATCTCCTGAAATTTGAGGAAATGTGTTGCATTTCATTGCAGACAATCTTTTTACTTTGTTTAAGATGAAAATTTGGTTTTGCAGCATTACGGCAAATACAGGATAAAAATAAAAACTCGGACAAATTAATTATAGGAATTTTGATAGTAGAGAATCAAGACAGGAACGGATCCAAGACTACGGGATGAACACGCTGTTTTCCGGAAAAATGGCTCAAACACCAACCAGATTGCCA